CAACCATTACAAATCATATTGGTTGCATATGGTTTTCAAAAGGTATTACAGACATTTAAAAATTAATTATATTGAATATTTTTTAAAATTCAAATTAATTTTTGATTGTATAATTGCTAATGCTTATTTTCTCTTTTTACATTTTTTATGATTTATTAATACTGTTAAATGTAATCTTTAGCAAATCTTAAAATTAAAATAAATTTAATTTAAAGATTTTCATTTTGTAAATGTATTTTGTGATTCCTAAATTCATGTAGCATTTAAAATAATTGATTTTACTTTAGTGTTTTTTTTAGAATTTTTTAGAAAGTTAACATTTCTCGGTTATAAACCATATTGTGTTGTCATAACTGTTAATACACTTTCTCAGTGCACTTTAGTGTATGCCTCACTTTCATATGTTTTGTCTAGCCTGTAATTTTCATGAACAAAATTAAAGCTTTGTATTGCCTCTTTGTTGTCAGTCCCTTTGGATAAAAGCATCTGCTAAATGAATAATTTAGATGAATAAAATAAGGTTGGGAACTGCTGATATAGAGAATGACCACACACAGTACTGGAACCACAGTAAAATCACATTTTAGTGACATTGTTGTGGTCCATGCCATACAGAAGAGTCTTCTTGAACAAATAGGACTATATGGAGCAACTGTGCTATTGAGTTTCTGTGCTGCATGTGTGCAGTGGAGTAAAACTGTTGAATAAGGCCAGTACCCTTCTCATTACTGTAGTTTATGCACACCGTCTGGCATGCAAAGTCCTTGAGCTTTCGCCAGTATCTCTCTGGCATGTCTTCCTCCTCGGTGAAGATGGAGGGCGACCCATGGTGAGGGTCTGGACAATGATGAAGGGCCAGCATTAGCAAACCGCTCTCTATTTTTCCCTCGTTTTCTCTGAATGATGCCCTGATAGGTCACCAGATGCCAGTCTGAGCACCTGCTCATTCAGAGTTCCTGCCTACTGATTACCTGGAACTGTGTATAATATGTGTATATATATATATATATATATATATATATATATATATACTGTATATATACATAAGTTAATAAGTTTAGTTACAGCATCCACCAGGAGAAACTAGATGGCAAAATCAGGCAAACCTCAACCCTTTGGTCTCTGCCAGTCGATTCTGCTTGCTGAATTGCTGTCTGACCGCTAACAACTAGCCAGTGCTGCATGCGTGAGCTGCTACGTGCTTCATAATCTGATCAAGGATGGGTTCGCTGTCCTCAAACACCTCTCAATCAGAATAAAATCTTGAAGGTGACCTTCACTGTCCTCGAGGAGAGATTTTCCCTTGTTTATCCTTTAGAAGATGATGCAACGGCCTCAAGGTCATTCAAATGTTAGGTCAATATTTGCTTTCACATTAATAGGTTTTTTTTCCCCCATTTCTTTTTTCTTTTTTCCTTGCACAGCATTCCTCTCTTTCACGGTAGTCATCTCTCGCTGTCGGTCTCAAGTATGCCAGCATTATTTCCTCATCAAGTCTTATCAAATTACAACTCCTAGGGTTTTGGTTTCCACCTCTATCAGCACGTGATGGATCCTGATGCAGCTGATCTGAGCGCAGCCCTTGTTTGTTGTGCATTAAACGCCTCTTACCTGACTGTCAATGATCAGCTCAGTGATATGAAGCTACACATTGAATCAATAATAAAATGGCAGGGTTTATCTGAATGCATAATGAAGCCTCTTGAATTATCTTGCTATCAAGGTTTACTTCGATGATATCAATGATAGTTGAACCTCTGACCGTATGTCAGCCTAGATGCTAAGCTCATGAGTTTTAAAATCGACTGCTCTGATTTTAAAAGTGCTGTTGTATAAATGATAATTAGGATTTCTATGTGCATGCGCATGTATTACAGTATATTAGAACCCAGAATCCTTCATACTCAAAGCAGAAATGTAAACCATTGATTGATGATCGAGTGGTAATTGTTGAACCACTGACCTGCAAAAATCCCTGGTGTGAGATGTAGGAAATAAGTTATTAAATATTAAATATCACAAATTCAATTTGAGCACTTGTATTGGTTGGCAAGAATGATTGCTCATTCAGAAAGTATAATGAAAACACATCTCACAAAGTAGTAAAGATCTAGAGCAATACATTACATGCATATTTGACAGAATATGTGTTAATCACAAAAAGTAAAAGATTATATTACTAGTGATGCACCAAAATAAAAATTCTAGGCCGAAACCCAAAATTCAGGATGCACTTGGCCAAAATCCGAAACTGAGAATTGTAACTTATTTTAAATTACAGCATAATAATGAGCACCATATAATATTTGAAACATTCACCATTTCTAGTCACAACCTGTCTATGCCAATTGTTAATGCAAAATAATATTCTTTTAGCTAGTGTAAATTTATTCTTAAAGGCAGTGTAGGTGATTTGGTTCCAAAAAAATGTTTTATGCTGCTTGAAAGTCCCTTCACATCCCGATAGCAATCACTAAGTTAAGTGGTCTAAATGTATTTCTATAATCTGTGGATGATATAAATTGGACGACCATAAAATGTTTGTCCAATCGTATTCCTCAGTCCGAGGGCTATGATAGACTGTCCTACCTCCTCTCTTTGCTCACACAGGAGGTATGACACTCTCGCTTCATCCATTTGCCAAAGTTTAATGTTGCTCCTACAGTCCTAAAGCTTTTAATTAGGCCTCTCACATGGTAGCGGTGCTCTCGACGTGCCCCCAAAGAGCTACACCGCAGTATAAAGGAAACCGGGATGAGCTTTCATAATGCGAAAGGTCACATCCATGCGACAGCTGTGGTTTTAATCAGAATGGCTACTGAAACTTGCACGTTAAAGAGCCATGGTAAGTGTCACACGGGATTATTGAAGTTTGGGAAAGACTTTAAAGGGTAAGAAGAAGTTGTTAAAAGTATGAAACATCTTCACCGACCATCTGCCAGTGGCCTCATTTTGTTTAGGTGTCTAAAACCAGCCAACAAATTGCCTGGTTTTCTTTGATTCGGTTTTGCGAAGTTCCCTCACGGTTTCTCATCAGTGAAGTCCTAACTGATGGTCCGCTGTGGTTTAAAAGTGCCAGCAAATCATCTCCGTCTGAAGTGTTTTGTTTCTTTATGGCCACCAGCAGCACTACACTGAATTTTGATAGCATGAAAACTGAAGAGCCCTCAAAAAAATCTCTTCGACCATTGAAGTCTTTTGAGATTCATGAGAAGCAGCTGGCTTGGAAGATTATCAAATGTTCCCGGTGCTCGAGAGTCCAGTCACTACTTTTCCTTGAAGTCCCGGCTCAGCCCCCATTTCCATAACAGCCATATAATACAGACTTTTGAGCGATGCGAGATGGGTAAAAGTAAAGTGACACTTTCACTTTTGTCCTTTTTGCAGGAAGTGCCTCAGGATGAACCAGGCCTAGTTTTGATTTGAGCTTGTGTTAGGTCAACTAAGGGCTGATTTGTTAAGATTAATTTGCTGCGGTTTAAAACGCTCATGGCGATTAAAGGCTGCAGGCTCTGCTCTGTCTTTCTCTCAGCCGTTTATCGGCGTGTGGCCATGAATCGATTACGTGAGCTCTGTAAGTCTAGATGTAATATCACTTGAGCCGTGTGCTGTAAAATATTCAATTCCATCCTCCACTCAACCTGAAAAATCTCTAGCGCCTGAAATGCATCAGTGTTTCGTTTTTTCATTCTTGTCAGAGAAAAATTTAAATTAGTCTACTCAAACCTCAGCAATCAAAAGGGCTCTTGAAATTCCTGTCCATGCTAAGCTCAGCTTCAGTGGAAGCTAAGTTGTAATTTTTGACTTGTTAATTATTTCTAAGTAATATAGGTCACGTGCACACTGCAAAGTTTCAGGAGTGATAACTGCATTTAAATACAGGAGTGAATCCCCTAAATTATCATTTTGTATGTGTACGGAGCAGAACTCACTCTCAAAACTACGATGATTGACACCATGGTAACCATAGCAGCATTCTGCCATCTCGCATGTTTGGTATACTCTATTTTTAACCAAAGTAATATTACAATGACCAAAAACTTATGTTCGACGATTTTACCTAAACCCCCATCGACAGAGACATCATGTTTTGTTAATGTTTGGAAGGCTGCTTTCTCAGAGCGAGGGTTGCCATGTCCACTTATTATAAGCAATGCTTATTAAGCGTCTTTGGGATTTGATATTTGGGCTTGGCTCATAAACCGATCCAGTTTATGTAGTTAATGAAGTAGGCAGTTGCAGGTCGCTCTGTTATGGTATGTGGTTTATTTCCAAGATAGCACATTTGGATTTGAGTTTATTATGGGCTTGTTTTTATTTGAATTTTTTTTTTCTAGTATGATCTGGCAACAGTAATGAGTCGAAACGTACCCTGTGATTCATTACACCACACATACAGAAAAGACACAACTCTGATGTTTAAATACATCATTAACAACTAGTTGTTCGGTTCCATACACTGTGTAGAATTTCTATAAATTCGGTTGTCAATACCTGCATTTTTAGAGAGTCAATTCAGTTGTAGAATGCAGTTGTCACTTGCGTAAATTACTGAACTGTGTATGTACAGAACAGAATTAAGTACTAAAAGGTAAATTGATTTCATTGGGTACATGGCCATAGACGTGGCGAGTTATCTCATGGCATTCGAAACGACCCTATGTTAGGCGCCACATTTGACTGCATGCATTAGGTTAGAGTTGGATTGGTCTTAAATTAGAAAGAACTACATATGGTGACTTAATATGTAATTCCAAGCCATGCTAGGCTCAGTTCCCGAATGACATACTGAGGACATTCTCAAAATGAGAGATGCTTTGCTTTGCTCCCTGAGCCTTGGGACTTTTCAGATTGCGTGTCAATACAGTTTACTATACTCAGCGTGATGTATAGACGCTTGTGTAAACAATACCTTTATCTTTGTCCTCTAGGAAAGTAATTGCTTTTGTTTCCAGTCCTATTCCCTGTCAGACGTGTCCTTTCTTCATGTTTGCGTTTAGAGGTGATCAGGCAGAGGTACGCGGACCTGCCTGGAGAGCTGCTGATCGTGGAACTGGAGAAAGATCGGAATGGCTTGGGCCTCAGTCTGGCCGGGAACAGGGATCGCTCCTGCATGAGCATCTTCGTGGTGGGGATCACCGCCGGAGGGCCGGCCAGCCGAGATGGCCACATCAAAGTGGGCGATGAGCTGTTGGAGGTGAAACGTGCAAACACACAGTCAAGTGATTGAGTGGTTGAGGTGGGGCTTAGAGAAGGTGAACATCTTCAACTTTTAGTACAGTATTTCTTTAAAAAAAAAAAAAAAAAAACCTGAAAAAATCAAATTATTTGTTCATTAGCAGTCATTATAATTGATATGAATTGGTTAATTAATCAGTAGCCAATAATAATAATTAATGTAATTATTAATGTTATATTTTATTGTTATTAATTAGTTTTATTATATTATTTTTATTGATGTCACTTATACATATTCTTAATTTTAATTATAATTTATTTTATTATTAATTTAAATATTATTTCTATATATCGATCATCTATCTTATATATGTTTATACGCTGGAAAGAAATTACTTTGAAACTATTTTTACTCACAAAGTGCTAGTAAATTACACAAATAATTACTATATATATATATATATATATTATTAATATTGGTTGCTCATTCATATTAAATATGACTTATTTTTTTATTATGAATTAATGATATGCATTTGATATTATATATAATTAATATTAGTGAGTGACACATATTGCTCAATTAATATAAATTATTAATAATAATATAAAATATGTATTAAAACAAAGTGTCCCTGCCCTTTTTTTACAAAGTGACTCTAACATAGCTCCCAGTGAGGAATTGTGGGTCAGTTCTCAGGACTTAGAAACTATATCTCTCTCGCTTTCATTTTTTCTTTCTCTAGATAATAGCCTTTTCCTGTTGAGCCCCTTATAATCCAAAGGGGGAAATGGTGGTTTCCATCAATTTCATTCTCATTCTGGTCTAATGCTGAATGAAGCATGGGGCTCAAGGGTCGTCTGGGTCAGTCTCATACAGGCAAAATCACTTTGAGTCTCGAGGGACGTGGTGGTCAGGCTGTCTGTTCTGGATGTGGATCAGCTGGTTCCTCTATCTCTGTCTTCATCTGTTTGTATCTGTGCCTGAGCTATTAATGTGCAAACACAAGTGTAGGGTTTTGCCTCAGATGGCCAGATGAATTTTAAATGAAGCCACCTGCCCTCAGTTTCACTATCTCTGTCTGTGCTTATCACTTTCCCTGCCTTCCTCTTCTGCTCGCTTTATCTCTGCAAGTGTTTCTCTAACTCCTTCAACCCCTCAACCTCACCATAAGATATAATTAATTGCGAGGTGAAACACACTGATAACGCCAGGTCACTTTTATGTTTATATTCATGCACAATTTGAATGTTTTTACTCATGAGTGTGACTTTGAATTGAATTGGCCAAACCATTGACACAATGTGAATAATTAAAATATTTTTCAGTTTATAAAAAAAAAAAAGCGAATCCATAACTTAATATTTAATCAATTGATTATATAATTTATGAAACATTTTGGTGAAGTAATTTGACCATAAAATTAAAAAAAGATAATTAAAATATAATTAGTAATTATTTGTATTATTTATTATTAATTATATTACTATTAACGTTTATTTATGACAAATACATTTAAATACAAATTTATACAGGTAATTAATAATATCATCTAATATTTCTGGAAATAGCACGGTTGTGTATATTATATTACGTTTATGGGTAATTCATGCTTAATGAAAATGAAAAAAATACTTATTAAAAAGAAACGTATTAAAACTACACTTTTAATTGACTTTAAAAAGACTCTGAATCCTGTTTGCTACTTTAATTTACATTCCGTTCAAATTCAGGAAGGCATTCGCAATTAATTTCTGAGTGAACTCAGCTGGTCCTCCATATTGCCTCATCCCACAATAAATTCCCTGATCTTTTCCCATCCAGATGGCATTTTGGTTTCCACGTTCCTTTCCTCCTCAGAATTGCCTATCGATTTAGTAATTTGGTCGACACGTACGAATGCCGTATTTTGGTGTGGAGTTTGAGGCCCGGTGTAGCCGTGGCTCAGAGCTGTGCTTGCTGACCTTTGGCTAATATCTATCTCCATTAGACGTGCACACACTGCGGCATTAGTCACGATCCACTAGTGCTCCTGCCTAATGATTCTGTCACAGGTGATTGGAGACGCAAGTCAAACGGTCTCAAAAGGTAACTCACAAGTAAACGTGTTATTGTCTCGTTAACGCATTAATTGTTTAACGCCGACAATTATTTTATCGCGCGTTAACGCGTTTTTTTATTATTATGAAAGTCCGTTGCTCTCTGGCTCTGAATACACATACAGACAAACCATGGATCACAGGAGGGGTGGGATGTTGTCGATCAGTAGGCTACTGGCTTGGGATGGGTGTCATCATGCATCTCAACCAATGATAGTGCGGGTCTCTACACGGAAGGTGCCTGTTATGATGTTATGATGGAGGCTCTGAACTCTGAGCATAAGTAGTTTTTCTATAACAAACTACAAAATATTTTCTATAAAAACGTTAATGCCCTGTCAGTGGCAAATAGCTTGTTTTATATTTAATTTGATTACATGTTATAACTTGAGATTTACAAGAAATATTTTAACTGCTACTATATAAAAGGAATACTGCTGTAAAAAAGCACCTTATTTGTTTAAAGTGCTTGCAAACCAAATGTTATTGCACTTTTGTTCATATAGCAGCACTTTTAAATGAAAAAAGTGTATAATACACTACTTTTGAATTCATTATTGAATTTTGTGCAAAACAATGTGATTAATCGTAGAAAATTGTGCGATTTAATCGCGATTTTTAAAAAATTATCGTTGCCCAGCACTAGTTATAATGCTACAATGTTAACACCATTTGACAGTTTTCTTTGACAAGTCTTATTTTTTGTCTTGTGCTAACAGAATTTTTTGTGCTTCCATCAGATAAACAACCAGGTGTTGTACGGCAGGAGCCACCAGAATGCATCGGCCATAATAAAAAGCGCCTCTTCAAAGGTCAAACTCGTCCTGGTCAGGTAAGAGACCCTCAGAGACAACCCTCAGCCTGCTGTTTTCTCACACTACCATCTGCTCATTACTAAGAAATTACTCTTACTGCTGTAAAAAAGCACCTTATTTGTTTAAAGTGCTTGCAAACCAAATGTTATTGCACTTTTGTTCATATAGCAGCACTTTTAAATGAAAAAAGTGTATAATACACTACTTTTGAATTCATTATTGAATTTTGTGCAAAACAATGTGATTAATCGTAGAAAATTGTGCGATTTAATCGCGATTTTTTAAAAAATTATCGTTGCCCAGCACTAGTTATAATGCTACAATGTTAACACCATTTGACAGTTTTCTTTGACAAGTCTTATTTTTTGTCTTGTGCTAACAGAATTTTTTGTGCTTCCATCAGATAAACAACCAGGTGTTGTACGGCAGGAGCCACCAGAATGCATCGGCCATAATAAAAAGCGCCTCTTCAAAGGTCAAACTCGTCCTGGTCAGGTAAGAGACCCTCAGAGACAACACTCAGCCTGCTGTTTTCTCACACTACCATCTGCTCATTACTAAGAAATTACTCTCATTTCAGCTTTATTATGAATTCTTTAACTCATTAAAAATAATTAGATCATAAATGTATTATAATGTGTTAGTTTATTCCTCTGGAGTTTTGAAATGTGTGAAATTGAAGAATAATATCGTTATCAATTATTGATTCATTGACAGCTCTAATATTTATAACAAGCTCAAAATGTTGTGAATTATTGTCACTGTCTTCAGCTTGAATCAGCATGTTCGCAGAAACTGCCGTTCTTTCCTCCTTGCAATTATGCAAACCAAGCAATCTCACTTGCCCAGATGCGAATGAAGTGCTTTTTTTTTCTCTGGTCCAAACTCCTTGATCAAGCTGAAAACCCAAGGCACCGTGGCTAATTAGGATCATAAAGCAGGCTTTTTAAGGAGGCAGTGGCAGTCTGTGTAGGATTGATGCAATCTGAGTCAGTGCCAGTACTTTCGTTAAACATTCCCATCTGAAGTTAACGTGAGTTAAGAGAAAGCCATTTCTCTGTGTTCAGATGTAAATGCAGTTATGTCTGTATATTGGTTGTTAACAAATACATAACTTAACTAAATTCTTGGGTTGAAATATTCCCTCTATATTCCACTCTCTCAATTTATATATATATATATAAATTAATTGCACCAAATTCAAGAATAATATCATTCCATTTATATATATAAATTGAGACTATGAGCAGTATCACACGAGTAGCAGTGCACTATGGCTGTATATCAGACAAAAAAGTATTCAAAAGCACTGTTGAGTCAGAATTCCATAGGAAATGAATATGGGTCATTTCGACCCCATTATACCTTCTTGGGTTAATGATACAAAAAAAAAAAATTCTGATCATATAACCAAGAAATATTAATGACAGTGGGGAAAAAAACATTTAATCACAGCATACCGGGTCAATTTGACCCCCATATGCATTATTGGGTTACAATAGCAGTCTAGCATTTTAAACTCCATATCACCGTATCTCTGTCTCTTGTCACTTTGAAGAGTGGAGTCATTGTTCCTAAGTACCGAATCAGACGCATGCTGGCTTCTGTGGATTAGCAACACGAGCAATTGATGCATTTCTTGTGATACTTGATGGCATTTCTGGAGTTGGCATGTCCTCCCATCCAGAGAGTGAGGTGTGATATGGTGTAATATACTGGAACTGCTATCACTATAAAGCATTTTTTGAAAGCTTTTAGAGGATTTTTGCAATACAATACATGGTTATGAAACAGCACAGCCCATTAGTCCATCACAAACAAACACTGACTCTGTCGTTATAGGTGTAATCAGAGACTTATTATCTGTTTCTGTTCATATCTCGTGTTTCATATGAGTATTTGTTAGCTTGACCTTTATTTGTATGGTTGTTTTGTCAGTCCAACAGGTTTAGCTGATAACGGCTGTGTAAAGACACCAGTATCTCCTTGCTGTCTACAGCTAATTATCAGAAATCCGAGAAATGTGATGGGCATCTCAGATTAAGTCTATCAAAACACATGTTTACATGCTACTGGATTCGCTTTAATGGACACACGACTTGCGTCTTTTATTGCGACAGTTTGGTCTGTAATTCAGACAGTTCGGAAAGCCCTTGTAAATGATTTGTATTGTGTCAAAAGTCATTCAGCGACACATGATGGAATGCAATAGAGAAAAGCATGTTGCCATGGTAAGATAACTGGCCAGTGGTCAAGACTGAACCGTGTCCACCTGTGACACGAATGGCAAAATGTCACAGTCTCATTGTGGCCAGTTTCCAAGTTGTTTAGCACAGGGATTTCAGAGCTGGATGAAATCTGGCCTAGTGACCCTAGTTAGTTCTGATTTGGTGTTTTCGATCTTCCTTCAGAAGGGGTTATTTGGAAACAAGCTGAGGATTGATCGTTTCATAAATTCTGTTCACCTGCGTCGACCTTACCTTGACAAAAACACATTACCTGTAATTGGAAATGGGTCATTTAGTGCACAAAGACAATAATGCCAAGGTGAACAGAAGCAGGGGTGTAGGGAGCGATATTACTCGTCAACTCAAGATCTTGAGGAAGAGGCTTTGAGGATTCATAGCGCAACATCTCAATTTATCTGGCCCATCAGTCCTTATCGATCTGAGCAGAGAAAACTGCCAAGAGCCATGTGGGAACATGAGAAGCAGAGAAAGAGCGGGACCAATTTTGGTGTTGTTGAAAGGATGGGATTCATTTTTCTCAGTTAAGTCTTGCGCGAACATAGCCATTGATTTACATAGTATGAAAAACTACTGTGGAAATCAATGGCTACCGTCAACTTATTTGTGGTCAACAGAAGAAAAAAACTGGAACGACATGAGGGTGATTTAAATGATGACTTTTTTGGGTGAACTGTACCTTTAAGATGTTTTGCTGGTGAAAAATAATACCATCATAATTTTGTGTGTATGTTTTTGTCAATTTGTGGAAAATTGACATGCTTTATACTTTTGTGCTATTGCATGGGATTAACATTAGATCTTTTCTGTCTGTTGATAGGAATGAAGATGCTATCAATCAAATGGCTGTCGCTCCTTTTCCTTCCCAGCCTTCCTCGTTCTACTCCAGTGAGGTAGGGTACATTAAGAATAGCCACATTTGATTTTGTGTTGGTATCAGTGTTTTTGTCTTAATCACCAGCCAACGAGTACAGTTTCAATAGCACAATTTTGATGAACACCATGAAAACACACTGGTCCAAAAACATACTCCACTTAACATAAATGTTAAATATGTTATGCAAAAAAAAAAAAAATATATATATATTTCAAAAGAATAATTAAAAAATAAAATACAAATATTTTAATTTAATTATAAATTACTAAATTATCATTTGAATATTGAAAAACAGAGATGATATATTTTATATATTAATATTAAATTGTTAAATTATTATATTATTACATAATATATATTATTAGATTAATCTGCAAATATTTATTTATTTATTGCATAAATTGCCTGTTTTGTCCTAACCACTCAAGTGACCACCAAAATCAAGCACCACATAACACACACATGTGCAGCATTTTCACTTTCAGGAGAAAAAAAAATAAAGTATTAATAATTTGAAGAAGAAAATTAAAAATATTTTAATTCAATTAACAAATTTATAAATTATTATTAAAAATATTAAATGTTATATTTAGAAGTAAATATATTAGATTAAATGTAATCATTATTATTGTATATTATTATAGTAATATTTATATGATAATATTTTATGTATTTATCCTTCATTTATTTATTTGTTTACTTAATTATTTAAATAATTGTTTGCATAAATTGCCTGTTAGTACAGGTTAGAGATTTTACCGCCTCTTCATGCACTGCTAAGAACTGGAAGAGTTCAGCTGATTTCAGAACTGTTGTTTCAGATGCATCAGAATACGCCAGCAGTTCCAGCTCCAGCAGAGAAGCCACAGCTACCCGAGAGCCTCCCTCTGAGCAGAAGCTCACCTGAGCCGCCACTAATCAAGGTGAGTCCTCGCCAAATCAACACCCTCCAGCTTGTATGAAGGGTCAGCGGCCATTAATTGCTCATTTGTATTAACTTTAGGTTCATTTTTTAATCACATTTTGTATATAATTAATTATACAAATACTTATAATTATATATAAATAAAGATTCTATAAAAATACGGTTTCGTGTAGAGTCCAATAAAAGTGTAGTGAATAAAAAAAAGATTTTTTTTTAGTCTGCCATGCTTATAAGCCAGATATGATGCAAGAATGCAGCAACCGATTGCCATCATTATGAAAACATAATGACTCTTGACTCAGCGTTTTACGAGTCTGTCCCATCTCCCCTCGCTTTCATCCCCTCATTGTCAGTCTGAGCTCGGACCAGCTTTTTCTGCTCTAAATGTGGATTTGTTTCGGTAAACAAACAGTTGAAAGCGCCTCGGGGGCGCTTGACTCTAAACAGCAGCTCATTGTCATCGGCTGCCTCTAGCTTAACTCTGTCCTAGATGGAGGTAGCGAATGCAGTTTTGACCTAGTTGACGCTCTGCGGGGAGTATCTAAACCTTGCGCTTTATTTTACCTGTTTGCCTGACTCCTCAAACAGGATCAACCCAGCTTGGCGCCGACCGTGAGCTCCACGCAGACAGATCAAGTGCAGAAGACTTTCAGAGATGGAGAGTCAGCCTTAAAGGTGAGGAACACCTAAGAAGATCTCAATGAGTATGTTCAGAATCACATACTACCTGTACTATATTTGCAAAATGTACTGTATACTGTGCTCAGTATGTAATGCAGATTTATTGTATATATAATAATAATAATAATACCTTTAATTTTTAGTCGCCTTTCAAAACACTCAAGGACACCTTGAGCAGCAATAAAATACAAAACAATACAAAGCTATCCAAAACACACAGACATACAAATCAAATCACTAAAAGCTATTCTAAACAGATACGTTTTAATCTGAGCTTTAAAGAGGGAAATAGAATCCAGCTGGCGAATGTGCAGTGGCTTAAGATTTACAGAATTTTGGAGCAGCACAACTAAAAGCCCTACCACCAAAAGAACTCAATATATAAAATACCCATAGAAATAACTTATTATTATTTATAAATCAATTTATATATGTATATTTAATATAATATAAATATAGATATAATATAAATGTTATATCAGAATGTTTATTTTATACATTTTTATTTTCAGCTTATTTATATAATAAATGCACAACCATGTATGTATATATAAATATAATTCAGTATATATATATATAAATAAAATTCAGAAGCCCTGATTTTTTTATGCAGATTCAGGTCTTTGAACCTCGCTGTATTTATAGAAAATAGAGGGGAAACATCCAACATAGTGATGTAATGTTAAAACATTTAGCATTTTTAATTTAGTGAGTGGCATTTAGTTGTAGTATGCATATTTATACTATAGTTAATACAGTACTTTGCCAATTTTCTGTATTAATGCAGTTGCTACATAAATTAGTTGTGTTGTTTTTTTTATATAAATTTGATTTTGATTTGATTTAAATTGTCTATAATTATCTATATACTTTGCTTTAACATTTTTCAATCCAAGATTTTCAACACAGCCAATGTATTTATGGAACATTTGAAAAGTGTTTAAAACATTTACTGTATCACTAGTAATGCATTTCCATCTTTGCCGTTTTACTCACAAATCAAAAAGTGCCATGAATATTAGTCAGTTTCATGATTGCTCCATTAAATTTTGGTTGTGTAGCTTGTTATACTGAGCGACAGAACTAATTAAGGTCTATTAATCATCTCAGAAGCTGAAATCTTCAGAGAAAATATTGGAGTCTCCAAGCGAACAGCCACCCAAGCCTCTTGTGGAGCAGGTGTGTTTGTTCATTAAAGTGTATGTTTGGGCGACACAAAACTCCCATTTGCAACACATTTAACTTCCTTAGTCATCATTAATACATTAATTTTGAGTTCCTCTTGACTTTAATTGAGTTGCATGCAAGTTAGATGAGATTTTTGGATGAGATCTAAACAGCTGCCAAAACACAGAAGCTCTGCCTAGACAAAACATAGCAGCTGTTAGTAAACAGTCTAACCTCTGTCTGTCTGTCTGTGTTCCTGCGGACTCGTCCTTGTTCTGGATTGTCCCCAGATCACCAGTCTTCCAAAAATCCAGAGGAATTCCACCAAGCCCTCAGCAGGTTCTCTGGAGGTCACGTCCTCAGGATCAACCGTGCCAGTGTCCGGCACCAGCCCTGACTTCGAGTACTGCAGCAAAGGTGCAACACGCTCAGTGTCATAAATTGTGTTTAAAAGACTTTACATTGTTACTTTAATTTTCATGTTTTTATGAACTTTTTTTTTTTGTTGCGCTGCAATCTGTGACGCCCAAATGCATGTTTAATCAAGGCTGAAATGAAAACAACACAGGGCTGCCATGTGTATTTGCCTCAGCCTCTTTGAACACTGAGAGTTGTTGTTTTTTCAAAGAGGAATTAATTTTCTTTTCACTCAGAGTGTTTATAAAAACACTGAACATGAAGGACTTGCATCATCTTTATCTCTCTGTGTATGTTTCAGACCCTGCTACGTGTCCCATAGTTCCAGGACAAGAGACAGTTATTGAGATTTCTAAAGGCCGGTCTGGACTGGGTCTCAGTATAGTTGGCGGCAAAAATACTCAGCTGGTACGATACCAGAAGTAAATGTGTTTTTGTGTGCGTGTGTGTGTGTGTGTGTGTGTGTGTGTGCGCGCTTTGCTTTATTTTGAAAATTTTTGTTATATGTTTTTGTTTGTTTTTCGTTATTATTATTTTTCTGTATTGTTTTATTTGTATTTTAGTTTTTTTTCCCTGTTTTGTGTTTTATCTTTTGTATTTGTTTGAATTTTGCTTTTTTTGGGGGGGTGGGGTGGGTCGGGGGGGTTGTAAATCCGTGTATCATTCGATCATTCGTTTTTTGATTTAATATTGAAAGTAGAAAAATTAGAAAATGGCTCCTTTTTCATTTTTTCGTTTTTTTTCCAAAAAACGAAAAACAAGAGTTCAGCTTAAATTTTCATTTTTCGTTCAGGGCTAGAAAAATTAATAAACGGCTTGAATATTCGATTTCTACACATGGGCAGGAATTAAACACCCCTTTCTGCTGATTGGTCAGCTGTGCCATCATCAGTTCTTCTGCAGTATCACACAGCAGAATAATAGTCCTCCACTGCTGCAGTTGTACGGATTAATAACCCATTTTATCAGTTTCATATTTTTCTCACTTGGGTATATATAGGCCTATAATGTTCACGCAAGAACTGTTATTCTGACTGACAAACGGAGAACAACATATATTAGATAGCCTACTGTTAGAGTTTTATAATGTAGTCTTGTGTTTTATTAAAATGTATTATAATTGATATGATATCTCAAAAGGATATGCACTTGTGCGCGGCTGCGCACTCTCACTGCAACGCAACATTTTAATAAAATATAATAGCTTGCCATTTCGGTTTGTTTCTCACCAAACCCTCAGTATACCTTCAGAAAGCTTGGAATATATGCCACGAGATGCATATGATTATTTTACGACAGATATGCATCCGCTTCAAAACAACAAACAAAACCTAAAGTCACCATTCTCTGCCATTAAATTGGCAATTGCGAGCAGGACATTTTTGTGTTATTAAGTAATAAGCCTTTAGAACGTTAAGGTGAGTAGTCACTCTAGTTCACACAGTTCCAATAAATTGCGATGGGTTAAATAAACTCAATAAGCAGACAGACGCGACTACAGTCAAGCGCAGACCAGTATTGAAGTGCACAGGAAATAAGCAGCAGTCATATTTAAAGCAGTTTAAATTAATATTGAGTACTGATTGATGTTCACTTGGATTTTTT